TTTTTGGGCATGAGATCGTCAGAACATGAAAAATCGATCCGAAAACATGACCAAAAATCAGCCCTCAGCCAAAATCAAAATTAATTTTCCTGAAAAAAAGGGCGTTTAAAGACAGCATTTTGAATCAGGGCAAAGTTGAAAATTTATTGCAAACGGGACTGAATTTTGCGCCAGAAAATATGTATCTAATTCACTTTGAAGCAGTTACAGTTTTATTTCAGAAACAAGTCTGGTTTAAATAGTTACGACAGTTTTTATATTATACAAGGAACAGAATAACAATTCGTACATTCAGAGTTTTGTCATTAAAATATACAATTCAGACGCCACTAACAGTTTTATTGGCGAAAGCAAAACGAATACCTGGTGCGAATTAAACCACCCTTATTGCCCAGAAAACAGCCGAAAATATATATAGCTGCATAGGTTACAGTTTTTTCTATTTTGGCACTTGGATTAAGACACGCATACGGGGGTTAAAAAGCCATCTTCTGTTAAAACAGATAATTGCTTATCATGTATTTGAACATGATACCACGGGAGGAGTTAACTTAATAAAAGCAACTGATCAACTTAAGGTAAACAGAGCCCCCGTTCAGGAAGTTTTTGAAGAAGCACACTAACTAAAACTTATCAAGTATTTGAACATGATACCACGGGAGGAGTTAACTTAATAAAAGCAACTGATCAACCCAAAGTAAACAGAGCCCCCGTCAGGACGTTTTTAAAGAAGCACACTGACTGCAACTTCTGCTTATTCAAACTACCGTCCTCCTGATTTTGTGATATCTGTGAAAGTCTAGGGGTGTATAATTTGCAGAGACACCAAAAAGGGACTACCTTTGTGTGAGTGCATCGTATGATGTTTTTCTTAGCATCAAATGTGTTTTCTTTTGCAACCACAAACAAAAAAACTAACCTTCGGGTATCTTTCTACCTTTCAAAGAATTAGGATTACTTGAGGCATTTGACAACGTATTATTTATCAACCCCTGGTCATGTATGGTATATTTTCATGCACCCGTTCCCATGAATAACACAATTTTCTTTTTTCCTTTTCAGTATGTGGATGTGAAAATACAACAAGCTGAAGAAGGTGAGGGGACCACTAGTGCGTTAAAAACCAACTTTGGAGCTGGTTTTAACGCAAAATGTTTGAGTTAAATCGTGTTTTCCACCCATGAAAGTCATTTCCACCTTTTATAAAAGGGCCTTGACCAAGTGACTGACTCGTTGATGTGAGCGCCAAGAGATTAAGGTCATTGCACGAGAGGCAAAAAAAAAACTATTTAATTATAAGTAACTTTGGCAAACGAGACATGTTTAAAACAAAAACATTTCGTTTTTCTCTCTCTCTATCTTTAAGACAAGGGAGTGCTAATAATTATTTAATGTATTTGTTACATTTTAGGCACAATTCATATTTAGCACCCGCTCCCTCAACTCTAACGGTACCCCTTATAGTGTTTACGTAATGTTACGCGAAAAAACATTCAAAGTCCTTTTGTTATACGCTTTAAATATTGCTCCAAGAAATTTTTCTCCACGTCAAGAAAGTGTCATACCAATTCTCTTGTTCATATCGTGCATAAATTCCATTTCAGACCGTTCTTTTCGTCAGCCACCATCGTCCAATACTTTAAAATCGTCAGCTCATTTAATCCTTAACCCGACGGTGGATCTTGCCGCGGAAGGTAGGCCTACTGTAAAGACTAGATTACATTTACGCAAGCGCTGTGTGATGAAATTGTCCGAATTTTTTTTTTTTTTTTTTTTTTTTGAAATCGTAAGGTGCTAAGGGCTAAGCTGAGTATATCTACATTACATGGCCTTAAATCCGTACGATTCCGTGCGATTTCGCAAGGCCAGCGTGTACCTCCGCTCAGAAGCCGTACGAAATTGCTATGACGGGCAGTATACGTGCACCGTACGGGCATCGCATTTCAAATGTAATCTAGGCTTAAATTAATGACCCGGAATACAGTATCTTCTCTCCCCCCTCCCCTCCTCCAACACACACACGTAAAACTTTTTTGAAACTTCTGTCATAAAATAGGTTCAAGGACGTAAATGTAAGGTTTTTTTCTTCCTCTTCCCGTCTCTCTTAAAGAATATAAAAATAACTGATTGTAGGGAAGGGTTGTTACATAGGATGATATTTTGGGGTGGTCGTTCTCGTCCTTTTAGTCGTTTATTCATTTTTTTAGCAGACTATAAAATTGTCTTATATTTCTTATTGATCAATTAAGTAAATGAATACATCCACTATCCAAGTAATCTCGTGTACCTATATCAATCTAAGTGCTATTTTTCTTTTCTGAAATGTGTGAATTTGAGGAGTGAAATTGTCGCGACAAATAATCAATAATGAAGTTTCGTTTTCTAGGAAGTACTAGCAAAACCATGAAGCACTGGCTGTATAACGATGCTGCCGCGCACTTGTTTAACGTCGCCTTCATTCCAAGCACGGGACACATACGCATTAAACACACCGGTAAATACTTTTTATATACCAGGGCAAGCGTGTTATTTAAAGCGTCAAATGATCCGCCTTTGATACACTCTGTGCATAAGAAGTCGGCAAGCTCAGCCCTAAGAGAGCTTTTGAGGGCGGTCCGTATAAATAGGTGGTCTTCGGCGCTGCGCTACGACGTACAGACCTCGTTTTTGAGCGGAACTTTTGACCTCAGGGAGAATGACGAGGTGTATGTTAGCCTCAATAACATAGCGAGGTTATATTTTTCTGAGAGGAATTATAGATCAACTAATTTTGGTTTGTTTATGATTTAACGTCGCAGCAGGTTCTGCAGCATAGAGTAGCTGTCTTGAAGTCGTGGGATAATTTGTACAGGCCACCTCCCCTCCTTTTTATTTTACCCTTTCCTTGGTGGGCAGGTTATTTTCAAATTACAATATAAATTCAAATTAAAAATTCATGCAATCTCAAAACTGATAGATCCCTGTGATAGATGCCTGTGATGTTAATTTTCACATGTGAAAAATACCTCATCCTACAATGGACAAAAAAGTTCGGAAACACTGTTATTCTAATAAACTTTAAATAATCATAAAGTTAAATTCTTAACCAAGTTTTAATGGATAATGCACCACGGTAACATTCATTGCTTTTTTATATACACGGATTATTTTCCTGCTACATTATATAGTTTTTTTAAATTATTTTTGGTCGAGTGTATAAGAATCAACAACCTGTACGAAATATATTTTTTCTTTACATCATATGTAATAAATCTATTTAAGCAGAAAAAGAAAAATCACTACTGAGTCAGTATAGTAAGGAAATTTGCCTTTATCTGTAGAAACAGTAAAACATACAAATGGGCATCTTAATAAAAGGATTTGGTAAATTTGTAAAAAAAAAAAAAATGTAAGAGTAGATATAATTTTACAGTTAACCTGACATTCAAATCACTTAAACTATTCCTTTGGAAATTTTTCAGTTTTGAAAAAAATTAGACAACTGGTGAAATTTATAACAGCAACATATACTGTTACATAAGAGCAACTGTACAGAATACAGTTTATGTTTATTTTATGTATGTTTATTTTATGTATGTTTTATTTTTTTAACATACTGTAACATACTGCTTTACTATAATTAATAGATAATAAATGTGTCCAATATCACATTATCATTAATGTATAAAAACTGCTGTCAAAAGTACTATAATACTTTATCTGTGATATTTTTGCAAAATAAAAAAAAATCATGAAATAATTTGCCTATCAGTCTCAATATTTGCACAGTTCTATTTTTCTTTTCTGCTTCCATGTCTGATTTTATGCCAAAATCTCATCACAGTAGCTTCTGGGTCTTTCCATAAATATTTGCGTCCATAATTGGCATACCAGCTGAAAAGATAATAATAACAATTATAATAGTAATAATAATAACAACAATGTATGCAGTGACTGCCACCCTTACTTTTCTTAATATGCAGATGCCTCGTTTCTTTTAAGATTCTAAAATTTAAATTCCATGCACATTTTTCTTAATTTTTGGTGAAAAAAATTAGTTTGCTACTTCTTCAAAAGTCAGGTTAAAGTGATCTACAGTTCTTGAATTTATGGTAATCGAAATGCAAATTCCATGCCAAAATAAAAAGATTTTAACTGACTAAAAGACTTTATCATAACTGTAAAAAAAGGAACTTAATTAATAGTTTCAATTAATAGTATTGTCTAATTAACAGTATATGGAGAATATCATTTGAAGGAGCATTTTTTTTTTGACAGAAAAGCAAATAACATACAGGCAACAGAAAACAACAGTCACAAAGTTAAAAAAAATCTGAAAACTTAGAATTTCACAACATACAATCACTTACTACAGAAAACAACAACCGCAAAACAAAGCACAATATATAAAATTACAAAATAATACAATGCAGTAAAAGATAAGGCTTTAACTTCTTTATTTTATGAGTTGTCAAGTCCATAAATACTTACAGTCCAAATAAAACACCACCTAGGTGACAAGCATGGTCAAAAAGTTTCCAACCTCGTAGAATCCCTATAGTGTCCAGTGCAATGAGGAAGAGGAGAGCCTGAAACAAGGAGAAATACCTGTTACTAGAAAAGAGTGCTTTGTTAAATATTTAAAAGGAGCACAGCAAAATAGTTTTTTTTTTTTTTGGCATAAAGCTATACATATGCTGCACCCCCCAAGAGTCCATTTCTACAAGAAAAATGTATTTACAACCCAAGAATTTCATTAGACCCAGCCCAAGTTTCACAAAAAAAAAAAAAAAAAAAAAAAGTAGGCGTGCCAGATATCAGAGTCGCTTAAGCTGACCATAATTTAGCAAGAAACCCCTCGGAGATGGATTGTTCCTGCTAGATCGATCTAGGTATGGGAATGGATTCTTAGTTCATAAATTTGGTTTTATTGGTATAATCTCCATTAGTAGAACAATCTTAATGGCATGTAGGACACTAACAAAACTGAACATCCCAAGGCGTGATTGTCCCAGGCTACTTACATGTCTTCCTTCAAAAGAATGTGGGATAATATCCCCGATGAATGCTATCTGCATCCTTGTGTCTGGGTTCTGAGATATCACTGCTGCCACAACTGCAAGAATAGCTCCTGACTGGAACAGAACATGGATTATGTCTTATGTCTCACCTAACACAGCATGATTGTGTCTTGTGTTTCATCTAACACAGCAGGATTGCGTCTTATGTCTCACCTAACACAGCAGGATTGTGTCATATGTCTCACCTATCACAGCAGGATTGCGTCTTATGTCTCATCTAACACAACAGCAAGCATTAGAACCACATAAAGCTCTTCTTGCTGAATAGAACATCTCTAAGACAAATAATACTGTTTGATAATCTTTTAACAAATGAATGTCATTGAATAATTCTCGACATGTTTTTGAATTGTGCACAACCAGAAAGTCAGTAAAATGAAGGAAGTCGTGGCAAGATTTGAAAAAAAACCTACACATAAGCTCAAAGCATGAACTTAGGACTTTCTAATTTTCACAAATTGTTTCAGAGTAATGATGAATAAAAAGGGTATCAAATATTGCTTAGTAGGAAAAAATACAGAAAAATAAATTAAGTATGAGTTCTTCTTCAGAAAATCTTGAACCAGAAACTTTAAAAACCTGCTGTTCATGCCAAAAAATTCATAATGACGCCAAGTGCTGCCCCCTGTTGTCTGATGATGGAGTTGTATAAGAAATTGGCTTGAGTAATTTATATACTTACTGCACCCAGTGATCTCGAGGCACCTAAAGCTGCTGTGAAGGGGCTCAGAGCCAAGCGCACATAACTTGCCAGTGAAGCCACTACACCTAAAAAAAAAAACACAATAATCTTTCTCTCTCTCCCTCTCTCTCTCTCTCTCTCTCTCTCTCTATTTATATATATATATATATATATATATATAAACCTCAACTCGCCTCACTTTCACAGACATACACATAGGGTATGTCCAATCGTCAGGTGTTTATTCATAAAATGTTTATTCAATGTGCTAAAATTCCCTTATTAACATAGAGGAGCACTTGTTATCTATATATTTATTCATCTTGCATGTACACAATATGAATGTTTTTGAATGATAAAGTTGTTAGAAATCAAATAACAAAGGCATCTTTAGATTATTCGACTAAAAGGTAATGGACTGAAGAAAGAAGGAAAGAATGAATGAAATAAGGGCCAAACATACATACCTGCTGTTAGGTAGAAAGCTACAAATTCCTCCTTCTCCATAAATGTTATGTGTCGCCTAAAGGACCACAATACATACATATTGAGAAAAATGTGCCAGAATTCCTGATGACTAAATGTACTTAAAAACATAGAAGAGCACCTGTTTTCTGAAAGTAAAATAATGTAGACTAAAATCTGGCAGAGAAGACAGATTACAACGTTAAATTAAAGAAAGAAAAACATTTAAAACTGTGCCACAATGATAGCATTATGCAAATTATTGGGGCACAGTTTCAACTTCTTCAAATGGCAAATTTGGACTTAAAAGAGCAGTTATGATTTCATGTAAATATCATAATCAAGATGGAGAATAGTTTGAAGTCAACTGCAATGGATGGCAACAGTCTTTGTGTGAAATCTTCAAAAGGAAAAATAAATGCTGGAACTTCCCACGCCACCAAATTTTTCAAATCTTTATTAAGTATTTTACAATCTTAATTCAAAAACATCTCATACTTACTGCTAAAGAGAGTGCCTGTGAAAAGTTTTGTCATTATGGTTATATCTTTGGGAGATTTAGCCATTCTCCACCAGAGAAACACTGCAAAATTTATGCCTATAATTCCAGCTAATATTGCTTGATGAGAAGTTTGTTCTGCAATGTTTTGAGGCTAAAAAAACAGGAAAAAATATAAATGAATTGCAAACGAGGCTCTGATACGTTTGTTGTATCACTGGAAAATTAGTTGACCTAAACACATCATTTTAAAATTCAAAATCAAAGCATACATAATATGTAAGTTATCAAATATTATTAACAATTTGCACTGAAACTATTTAAAATGAAAATAAACTGTGTATGTATAAAACTATGCCTGAATTTTTCTCTGTAGAGGTTGGCTCAACTACAAGGCAATTCTTTACAGCTAAGGACACAGTGTGTAAAACAAAAATTTAAAAAAAGAAAACTTACTTTTTCTCCCTTCATGAGCCTCTGTACTACCTCTTGCAGAACTTCAAATTTCCAAATCAAACAGCCAGCAAAGGTGGAGGCAGTGAACTATAAAAAATTCTTATGAAAATTAGGCTATTTCAGGGCCCTTTAATTATAAAAAAAAAGACCTATTTAAAACAACATAACGTTTACCAGCAATCACATGTTGATAACAAAATAACACTGAACGTTAAATGCAGTGAATATGTTAGTTCCGATGTTAGTTTGATCTTTTCTACACAATTTAAAAGTTTTAACTTTTTTAAAGTTTAAACTTAAAAGTCTAATTTAAACTGAACAAATGTTAATTCCATGCAATTAATGATTATAAAATTTAAGTTGGCTATTAGATTAAACATTTTAACAACAAAAGTGAGCAACATGGCAACATAAAAATGATTAATAAATGAACACTGTCGTCGGATAAGGCATGTACACGTGCCTATTTGTAACTGTACTTGTAACTTGAAATTCAACTGGATATAATAGAGTAAAGCATATAAAAAGGGCACTCAGGTGCATAAGCACTTAACAGTTCTATCTTAAAGCCATAAAGACGTTTTTGTTGCGATGTACTTAGCACGTTCGATATATTGTTGCTTGCACATGAATAAAATGGCACCAATCAAATGTCAGCCTTGTGCTCAAAGTCGACTCGACACGGAATGTAGTTAATATTTCGAAAATAAATTTTCTGTGAATGGTCGCCTGAAAAGATGTTAACAGTGTAACATGAAATTTTAAGGAACATATTAAACCACGGCAGCATTAATATATTCATAACAGGCAGACTCTCCGTGCATATACGCGAGTCATGCCCTGCAATGTGAGGGTCACACTGTCGAGATCGCCCGGTAAACTGTTCAGGTAAATTTTTAGTAATCCATTATTAAATAAGTCAATCAAGTTGTCTAGTGAAATAAATAATGCAAGCATGATCCTCAAGGTTATAATTAACTGAAGTGATCTTATTAGCTGACTCAACTCGCGTCCTCTACCGGATTACATAACAGCCAAAGATAAAGTGGTGTTGGCATCCCGCTGCCGCTTTAACAGCTTATTTTGACAAGGCTAGTGCTACTTGCTGGCATGAGAAAAACATCATTGTTTCACCTTGATGCCGATGCGTTAATTACTTATGGTCACATCGTCTTCTTCCCACGGCGCCCATTCATAAAAAGGGGCGTAGTTAGGTATTAGATGTGTTTTCTGATCACTTAACGTGTTAGCAGTGCATTGTCTTCAAATTAAATCCGTTAACCGTAGGGTGTGAGAAGTCAATGATACAAAAATACACAATCTCACCACAATGGTAAACAAAATAGGTTTCCCTAATAGCCGGATATGCCTTTTGCCATTTGTGAATTCCAAGTCAGTACGCCTTTTTCTAGTTTTCCCAAACATTCTACGCTGTGTATGTCGTAGTCCATTAAATATGTTGTTTTTACAAATGACATATTTAATATTGCTACTCCTCGAAACAAATTGAGAGCCAAGTCTGTGACATGTGCTGCCTCCTAGTGTGCTGTACATAAGTCCTTCAGTCTTTAGTATTGAGATTGTGGTTCTGAAAATAAAATAAATATGGTAGCTTATTTAACAACTAAATGACATGGAATTCATAAACAAAAAAATATCATATCATTGTTCCCTGCATGACACTGAAACAGCACCTGCCTACAGTTGATCATATAAAACGGGCCAGTTTTCCTGTTGACAGAATCATGAGGGAGGTAAAATTCATCTGCTTGCCTTACCAGACAGATTGCTGTAAAATCACGCAAACGCTCCCGCCGGCCCGGGGTGGGGGTGGCTGCGACAAACTGGTGGTCATTTTACACATTTTAAGGGCTAAATGATTCCATGCGTAAGCACAGCGTATACATCAGAAATCATCAATAGGAGTTCTAATACAGAAGTCTCGTACTACACTGCCACAAAATGATTCAGCAACCATCTGATGAAATTTGCCTGTCAGCAGACGAAATATTGCCGCGGCTGGTAAATCTCAGTTAATTTTTCTATCAACAAATGAAACTTTATCTAAAAATCCACGCTTTATGTTTTGAAATTTATGGCAGCTGAGTGATAAAGAGTCGTTTGGGTTTCAAAGGGTACTTGCGATATATACCTGTCCGTAAACAATCGTGTGGTATTTCTAAAATTTTGGGACGTCGCCGACAGCAGCCTACTAAGCGACATTTTGAATACTGCTTTACACAAGTGCTAAAGTTGGACATTATTGTTTTTGAAAAGGTCTCATCAAAAAAAAATACAAAAACTATTAAGCAATATAAAGATACTGAATAATTGTTAAAAGTTGTTATCTATGATAAAATTTTGTTGCAGTTACAGTTAAAAAAAGATAATTGTATTAAGTCTCCCTCAACTTTGCTCTTGTTCATGAGAAGTAAACTCATGCGCATGCGCTCATCTTGTGTTGTCAGCTATGGCCGACACGTTGCAGAAGTGAGAGAGAAGTCAAATACAGAATGAACCAAATGGTTTTACGGGAGCGATTAGCGGCATGGGAGGCCAAGACCGATACCGTGGCTCCTTTAACAGAAAAGCAGAGGGACAGCATCATGGAGCTGACCACTCAGTCTGCTGTACGCCCGCTTCCGATAGAGGTTGGTTTAAAAAAAATTCAAAGGGGAGGGGGAGGGGAGGTGATAGGAGCCGCTCCCGGGAGAAACCCATCTCTTCCTGAGGTTTAAAATATTCCACTAGTTTAACATTTTATGTGGACTAGCTGATTTTGTAATGCCAGTGTTTCAGTGTTATACAAGTGGACCCCTGATTAAATGCTTGTCAGTAGGGTCTGGACTGATCTGCTGACAAGTTGGTGAACCCCCCTCCCCTT